TCGTCGTCGTCGTGGTGGTGGTGGTGGTGGTGGTGGTGGTGGTGGTGGTGGTGGTCGTGGTGGTAGTAGTAGTAGTAGTAGTAGTAGTAGTAGTAGCAGTAGTACGACTGCTGATGGTAAAGTTGACGCTACAGCTGCATGTGTACGTGCTGGTGTTACAGCTCATACTATCGTAGTAGTCCTCGTGCCTGCTGCTACTACTGCTGCTATTGTTGCGGCTACAGCTACTAGCATTGGCAGCATCAGCAGCAGGTGTAGAGATGAAGAAACAGATGTGGTGGTGGTGGTGGTGGTGGTGGTGGTGGTGGTGGTGGTAGTTGTTGTATCTGTAGCCATGACAGTGCAACGACTCCAAATACAGTAGCAATAACAGTAGCAAATACAATAACTGCCCCGACTCTGATTGCAAGAGTGGCGATTGAGAGAACCCATGCCAGCTTCCAACCTTTTTTCAGTATCAGTCCCAGTCTTTTGTTTGCCAAGTTGTTATGTGAACCAGTCGGTCTATGCCGCTTCCAAGAGTGATGCGCGCTTCGCTTCCTGGTCCAAGTGACGTAGTGACATTCTAGCTCCAGATAAATGAGCAAACCTCTTCACCCCCCAAACCCCAAGAGCTGATATCTGTTGAGCAAAGCCCGTTGGGCGACGAGCATTTGAATTCACGATGTATTTGCACGGCTGATTCCAGGAGCTGCGCTGCTGGAGAGAGATGAAGTCTGGTGCAGTGATGAGCGGGGGTTTAGATTGTACGGTTCTGGGTTTGGGGTTCTATGTTCCAGCTTCATTCTAGCAGACCAAGTTTGCTGTGCGCCAATGCTTGCTGACACTGTTTGGCTCACAGCTGACGGCTCTGCGATGGCGCAGCAAAGTCAAGAGCAAGGATACTAGACTAATATTCCAGCCAGGCCTGCCAACATGTAGTGGTTTTCAAACCTTAGCTTCACTAGCGAGTGCATACAAACAACTGAGAGGTAGTGTGCTTGTGGGCAATCAGCAGCCCTGCGCTTTGCCGGTGCTTCGTTTGATGCAATCGCTTGGATGGCTTTTTCTTTGCCGCTTGACTGTCGTTGGCCTCGGGTTTGAGGGAGGAGAGCCCTGCACTTCAGAGGTGTACGCGCCACATCATGCGTGCAATCCCCTTGGCCCCCGGATACCGTGGTGGTGCAGACACCCGAGCTGACCAACTTGGCACGGCGAGCTGCCAAGTTGCTCAACTGAGTTTAGTGAGTCCCCAATGGAAGAACTCTTACACTGCGCGCGCACTCCGTGACATCCAATCGCTCGGACTGCAAACTTGACAACCCAGCGCATGGAACACAGGACGAGCTCTCCTATTGGCCATGATGCATCATATTTTATCACCAGAGAAGTGCAGAAATGAAGGCTTTGCAGTCTATTCAGGACTGTGCATCGGGCCAGCCTTCAGGGATAACAACGTTGGACGGTTGCATTCGATTAGTTCATAGGCCGCGTTGATCGCTTTAAACATGGGCTTGGCATTGCTGGACTTAGCTGCAAGATACTGCGCTCATGCTGCATGGAAATGCCAAAGAAGCGTCAGGTTCTTGCCCTGCCGCATTTGCGAAGAAAGAGCCTGGCACCCAGAGCGAGGCAATGTTGGCTCATGCTTCCTCCTACAAGCCCAGCCTCACGCCCTTCTCATGCCATGCTAAAGGAGCGAACGTGTGTGATGTGTCAAGGTAACTTCGCTGCTGGCAGTCTTTCGGTCCGAGATCGAGCGCCTTGCTGTTTCATGGTGCCAGGTTTTTCTAGGCCTCATGTGGGCCTCATGAAGGCTGTAGCCTGGTAATGCAAAAACATAGCATGCAGCACCGCTCTTCCTAGCGAATTGCAAGGAAACTTTATTCAATGGACGATGACTGGGCAGAAAAACTGCCTGATGGGATGGGAAGTGGCAGGACTTTGTGCAACTTGTCTACTGTTGGTAAGGTTTGCCGAGGTTAGAAGAGAAGGAAGCGTTCTCGTCACTGTCTTGATGCTGAGGTGACATGAGGCACTTGTCGATTCTTGGCAGTACTGCTTCAGTCCGCCGTTGCACCTTGCAGCCGACGAGTGTCCAGCAACACCATGTGAGCGTGAGCAGCAGTCACCTACAAACTGAGGAAGCTTCTCCACACCCAACGTTTGGACGTCGACCTTCAACATGATGGTTTGGCGTCCGTGAAGAAGGTTGGGTACTAGCCCAGGACCATTGTCGAACAATGTCGCCATTTCCCCCTGCAAAAGCTGATGACCAGCATAACCGTCCCAGAGATGCCGGAGCTCGCGAGAGCTGTCCAACCTCGAATCTGGAACAGCTTGCAGGCTGTGGTGGGCCGAGAGCTGTTTTTTCTTGATGCTGGGTAGCAAGCATTTTGCCGTGCTGTGTTGGTGTCCTTTTGAGAGGGTTCAGGCTTAGCATGGCTAGCCATCCAGTGCGAAGAGGAGTTCTGGAGCATCTTCAGTGCTCGAGGCTTAATAGAGAAAAACACTTTCCTTAAACAGAAAGCACTCTCGGCTCTTAAAAGCTACGCACGGCGCTGATGGGCTCATGATCAACAGCATCTGCAAGGACATGTGTGCAGACATTGGAGCCAAGGATGAGGTGAAGAGTGAGCAGTTCCACTTCAAATCCTATATCGTTCAGCAAGCCTGCATGGCTGCCTTTGACGATATCGAGATCATCACCAATGCCGTGGCTCGAGCCTACGAAGGACGAAGCAGCAAAGGAAGATGAAGGAACATTGAGGAAACGGCGTCTTGATTTGGCTACTGCGTTGTTTCCAAGCTTGCAGGAGCACAGCGCGCGCATGCTTCGGATGTGTCACTTGCCTTCAACAAAGTTGGGTATGTCCAAAATTGGGATTCCCTTATTTAAATCTACCGCGCGACCTCAACAAGCTTCCCATGACACCCACAACCAATTGCATAACAGCAATAGCATCCTGTTCCTTTCATGCTTGGGTGGGTTAAGCTCCCGTCCAGTCATCAGTAATGGCGTCGTGATGGAAATCTTTGAGTGTATTGATATAGTCGTCCCATTCCTTGTGTCGCACTACGAAGCCCTTCACTTTCAAACATGGTGGGTGGTTTTCAAGCCCAACTCAGGCCCGAAAGTGTATTTTCCGCATTGTGAAGTCCTTCAGGTTTGAAAATGGTGGGACTTGGGCCCAACGCATGCATTGATTATGAAGTATGAATCCGCCTAGGCTCGAAAATGGGCCCCCTTTACTCCAATTGTCCTTGAGGCTTTTTGCAAGTTATTTGTCAGTGAGGGCCAGTGCAAAGTAATTAGGGAAATCGAAGCAGTTCGGATGCAGCTGCTCCGGATCTATCAGCAACCCCAGACAGCGATAGTGCCTTCCTGAAACCCTCCAATCGCTGTTCCTGTCCTTGCTGCCTCTCGTGGTTACTTATGTTGTGTTTTGAGTTAGATTTTGTAGATTTATCATGGTTTTACTCCTGCCTCTCCTCATGTCACTCCAAAAACCTCTATAGTCCTGATGGGGATCTCCAAACAAGGACCTCCGACTTTGGAAACTTGACTTGGGACATGGTTTGAGAGTTGGAGTTGGCATCACCTTCCCTCCCCCAAAACAAGCAGCAACCCCATAGAAATTCCAAATAGAGGGCTGTTAGGTTGGGGGCATCATGAATGCTAGGCAGCTGCTCATGATGATGAACCAAGCTGGAAGAGCAGCTTGTTCCCAGGTACAAGCTCCTCAGCTGCTAGGAGTTTAGCTAGGGTTTTCTGCAAATTTCAGTTGGCAGTTGGCATTGTTGTCAAAGTCTCGATGCTGAAATGGCTGGACTCCCGGAAGGAGGAAACTCAAGTGATTTTGTGCCTAAAGGCCTGCCTGGAAGAGGGCAAGTTGCGGCAGCGGCTGAAATCTGAGCCAAGACAGGCAAAGCCCAGTGTCCACGATGCTGCCGAGCTTTGACGCCGGAAAAGAGATTGTGTTCTGGAGCGTGTCGGTTGCCGGGCACCCCTGGTTACGACAAAGAGCTGAGAATGACTCTCCGATCGGCCTAAGGATGGCGTGACCTGCAACCTGGGCGTGCAAGGCCAGCCTTGAACGCTATTTGAGCCAGGGCACCGGCCGTGTGGCAGTAGCAGATCCTGCCAGATTTGTAGCGAAGGACCTTCTCTGTGCTGTGCAGGCGGCTATTCGCTAGAGATTAGGAACTCAGCTTATGACCCTGCACAAGCTCTCATTGCAACAATCGCCGTTGGATGCGTTTGGTAGCTTCTGGGCGTTGCAGTTTCAAAGCAGGCTGCTTCACTGCTGGGTGCGTGCCATGAATCTTCTTGCAAGACACCGGCAAGAACAGTGCAAGAACCAAGCTCTCGACCTGCTGATGCACTTGCCAGGCCCTTGTGTGCTGGCACCGCTACGAGCCCACTAGTCCTTTGGCTGTTATCAAAATGCATGCCGTGAATCATGCTATCGTTTGCGAGCCTTTTCATGCAGCCGATCCGCCACAGAATTCCTCAGGTGCTCCCCGCTTTTGAGCCCTCTGCATAGCGTCGGAATGTCTGGATGAGGGGAGCTGAAGCTTCTTTGCCTGCAGCTGTTTGAATGCCAAAGCATTGTCCTTCACCACACCGTGTTTTCATGTAGCGCTAGAGTTGGCTCCAGTTACCAAATAGGTCAAACAGAGCAAATCATATTCTATTTTCTAAGGGGGTTCGCAATGGAACGCCGCGTGGATCCGGCAGACGGCGCGGCATATACTTTCCAAGTGAGGTGCTCAGTTGACGGATGCAGGCCACCAGATGCGTGTGGTGCGCAGACTGTGGCAGGAGCTTGCTGGCTACTATGCCAAGCAGTACAGCAAGCAGGACCTCCAGGGGTGCACCTCCGCATGTACTTCCTTGCCATGTTATCGTAAAGGCCGGGCACTCAATCCATGGGCCGGACATCCCCGGACCACACTTGCAGGAGATCCAGCACTACTGGAACAAGCAGTGCAGGTGACCGGAAGCCTCGCCATATGACTAATTATTTTGCTGCTGTTCAGGCCGCTGGCGAGCGCTAAAGCCTCGTCACCCGCGCATGGCTTAGCTGTGCTGCGAGCTCATGTGACGCCTTGGCCCCACAAACCCTGGGCAAAAATGCTGTCTGCTTCTGACGTTGCATGTTGCTTGATGCAGTGTAAATGGGAATGTGCTGGGAATTGCGCCCGGGCCAGAACTGGGCTTCACAGTGGAGTCCAGCTGGATTTTTCCGAGCTTGTACAACAAGCAATGTTGCTGGGGTCTCTGACGAGGGCTCAACTCCGTCCACCTTGTCCGAGTATAACTTCACTCCTTTCTGACCCCTTTTTTTTCCCAAGGTATCCTCGACATTTTCCTCATACAATGTGGTTGCTGGCAGGGACGTGTTGTTCTTTAAGGAGTGAGGGCTTAAGGTTTGAAGAGAGATGCAGAAGCTAGATGTGCAAGTTAAGGTGCGTGTAGATTGTGCCGAAAAGGTGAGCGTTCCATTTCAGTGAGATGGGCGAGGTCACCCAGCGGATGGACATGCAAAAGCTTGTCACAAAAAGATCTGGGCAAATCGATTCTCAAATGATTGTTTAACACAATCCCAAAATGTGTACCATGAATTGTAGAAGCATGAGAAGGATGTCAGCCGTACTGCAAATGAGAAGCATGTGGCATCATTTTTCATCGCGTGGAGGCTTAAGGACTTTGAGGTGGTGATGTGGCTGAACTTTCAAGCATCGTGTGAACCATGGTGAACCTTTACCGCCTTTACCTTTATACATATGTAACCAACGCGGCCAAATGACAAAATGTGCGTGGCAGCTGCTCATGCAGTCGTCATGATCGAGAGGGAGAGTCGACTGGTTTTGGGAGGAGGTTGCAGCAGCTTTTGTAGAGGTGTCGGGTCTCCTGTAATTCTGGGCTGACGTGATTGCTGCGCTGGAAATGCTGGGAGGAGGGACCTGTTCCCGCTTTGTAGATGTCCCTGCCTCTTGCTCTCATCTGCTCAATCTTGGGGTAGGTATATGTGCCCGGGCCAATGTGTCCTGTTCTATGCCCATGACGTGGGAGTGGTGCAGGAGGATTGAGGGTGCAAGGTTTTCCTGCCTCAACTGCCAGGCCCGCTGAGCTGACCCGTCTACATCCATCCATCCCCCCACCCACATCCCCCCACCCATCAGTGTATCATGTTGAGAGGATTTGCCGCAATCCCGATTCTTGGGGAAGTCCTTATGACATTCAGAGGCAACAGTGTAATCCCTACGATGATAGTTGGCCACCCAGAAAAAAATGCCTGAGGTAGAACAGCCCGAAGAGCCGCTTCCGGACTTCGAGCGGCTGAGCCAAGCGAAAGCCTCCTGGCTTTGAGAAGATCTGAAGAGATGGTTTGCTGTTAGGAAGCTGAGAAGTAGGTATCCCTAACATGGAGCCAACATTGTTTACGTTGTTTACCATATGGAAGCTATGCTGTTTGTTCATACGGACCGACTTAATTTGAGTTCTTTAACACAGCCCCCGAGAGTCTGGAGAACTGTCATGGGGTCATATGGCTACTGTAGGGTTTTGCGTGGTTGTTGGGCTCTTGCCAGTCTTTCTGAATCTTATGTGTGTATGGTGTTGAATAGTATGCAGTGTTCCTGATGGACTACTGTAGGCATGATAGACAAAGGTAGTCGGGATATTGTGAAAATATCCTGTCCATGATGTTGATCGAAGTGATGACACCACTGAGGATGAGAGTTTAAAGACACAGTGATGGCAGGACAGGAAATCTGAGTTTGGGTTTAACATCGCAGGCAGGGCCGCAGGAGAATCCCCATGTGGAATGGCGCGCGGAACTTCTCTGTGACAGGACGCACCACCTCTGGCACGCCTTGTGAAGAATTCGATCACAAAAACACACTGGAGCGACATGCGCAATCACATTATACATCTAGTTACTAGTTTCATCAGGAGCAGTGCAGCGGCTCGACACCCTACAGTATCCTACAGTAGCAGGATCAGATTTTGAAGTTAGGCAGCTAGGCGTGTTCCAGTATTTTGCATGTCCATGGCCTGCCCTTTGGCTCATTGCCCAGTCTGCGGCTCAGCGTGAACGGAATTGCATCTTCATCCGTTCTGGATGGCAAGCACCCCCGCACAAGATGCAGAGGAGGCCGATGAGAGTGAGGTGACTCTTGAGGTGCGGCTGCAGTGGCAAGATGCTGGTGGCAGTCAGAGCGACCAGATCTGCATGGTTGCGACCAGCACGCTCAAGGAACTCAGAGAGCACTGCGCGGAAATGCTTAAAGTGAAGCGCATCCATTGTCCAGATTTCAATGATGACATGGGCAGCCAGCAGCTCCAGGAGCTTGGTATAGGTGCGGGGCCACGTGACGAAAGTAACTCGTCTTTGTTGCTTAACCGAGCAGCTGCCCTATGCTGCCCTGCCTGTGCTGTTGTGCAGGGCTATCAGATGTGCCCATCCTGCTGGAACTCGGGCCGCCCTTGGAGTGCGCAGGGCCTGCTGAGCCAAAGGCAGCTGCAAAGGCAACGTCTCTGCCCAGGTCACTCCTTGTGGCTGAAGACGGTAAGATTTACCTTTAAAACGGTGCAATTGTGTCAGAGGTTGGCAGGTTTTTTTGGGTAGAGGTCCTCTGTCTTTTCGCAGGAAGGCCCGCGCCCCCTTGGCGGTGCGGCAGGCCGTGGAGGATGCGTCGGACGTAAGGGAGGGCTGGCTCTTCCTCGGCGGGCAGATGGCGGCAAGCAGTCTGGAAGGCCTTCAGCAGATAGGCATCACCCACATCTTGAACTGCTGTGAGCGAGTTCCCTGTAAATTCCGACGCTTGGGCAGATCATGTGAGCCAAAACTGTTTTTGAGAAAGCTTCCTAGCAGCAGCGTGCAATGCACAATGCTGCAAAGATTTGTTTACTCCACAGAACAGAACTTCATCCCGGCCTCAGGATCAAGGATCACCTACAAGACGATAGCTGTAATGGACACAAAAAGCCTCGTGGCTTAAATAAAGCGGGCTGAGACCAGAGCTTGCGCCGCCTGCTTGCACCGCCTTGAGGATGCCCTGCACAAGCCGAGGCTCCGATATCCGTGATTTCATCCCGGAGGCCCTCGCCTTCATTGATGAGGTGGTGGCTGCTGGAGGCAGCTTCTCGGTTCATCTGATTGAAGTATTCGGATAAATTGCAATAGGTTAAAGTTTGAAGAAGGACTTTGTGTTCCTCGGTGACCTTCTTCCTCCGTAGTTCCACTGTCTGCCTTAATGAGGCAAAGTCTTGGTGCACTGCATGGTGGGAGCTTCGCGAAGTGTCGCCTTGGTCCTCGCCTGGCTTGTGGCACGCTGCCAAATGCCCCTGAAGAAGGCCTTGCCAAGAAGCCTTTAAAGGGGATATAGGCTGTAGGGTCACATGCGGGTTGTATAGGGTTCAGGGTTGAGGGACATTGCCCCAACAATGGAGAATCAAATGGAAAATGACATGGAAACTAGGAGTATAGAGTGGCTTAGACTGATTGCGAACATCACAGGACAGCGATTCATGAATAAAGGCAGACGTGATGATGTCAGCACCAGGCCAGTAGCACAAACTAAATCCAGCTGGCTCAGAGGAGTTACGTGAAGTCAATGAACATCCAGTTGTCTGACGCAAACGGCCATTCGAACATTAAGCCAGTTCTGCACGTCAATCACAATGTAGCCGGGCCAGGAACCTGATACATTGATTGCAACACTAAGCCCGTACGACAAATATGGCGTGCACAGGCATGGTCTTCATCCCAGTAGGTGTTCTGGGGTTCCAAAGACAAGGATGGATTACTGGGGTCGTGGGAAGAACCCTGGGAAGCAGAAATAGATGCACACAGCACAAGCCACTGCGAGGCGTTTCAGGACGTGAGATCCAAGAGGCATCAGGCGAGACCCAATCGCAGCTTTTGCGAACAACTCATGGAATTTGAGAAGGACACTCTTGGGAGCTGCAGCGCCACCTTAGCAGATTTTCACCAGAAGTAGGACACCAAGAAAGGTGTCAAAGATGATCCAGATGTTTGTCAAAATCAGGCCCTTTCCCTCCAAAAAAGTACCAGGACCTCAAGAAACTTCTATCTGGATCTGCGAGATATTGGCGGAGCACGTGTCAAATTGCCTGTGCAGCAGAAAGAAAGCCAGCAGGCTTGGGTTGGCGTTGCAAGGGCTTGAGACAACAATAGCAACAATAGTAATAGCAGTATTAATAGTAGTACCACTAGTAGTAATAGTAGTAATAGTAGTAATAGTAGTAATAGTAGTAATAGTATTAATAGTCATAACAGCAATAATCGCAATAATAGTGAGGGGACCTCTTTGCGGCCGGAGCCGCGTGCCGTGCGTTCGCAGTTTTTGCTTACCTGCGGTTGAGATTGATGTTTCGTAAGAAGTATTCGAACATCGTATAAGGCAGATCGCAAGCAGTTCCCGCAAGATCCCACAAGATGTTGTATGATTTCCATGGATGCGTAAGTGAAGCCTCGGGTGTACATTGCTGAGGTTAGTTTCTGCCCCGATCCAAGGTGCCTTGACAGCAGCTGTTCAGAATGTCAGTGCTACTGTAGGTGGTCCCTTGCGTATTTGGCGCTGGGGGCTGTTTCTGGCCTTGTTCTGTGTTGCTGAGGAAGTCGGGTGGATCCTTTACTGCCATTTACGAGTCTGCCAGCGCTGGCAAGAACTTTGCTTCCGTCAATGCCGGAAACCCCAAGAAGCTGAAGGCCGGCAACCAGACTACCTCATTGGAGTCTGAACACTTCCAAATGTTGTTCCGCTGCATGTCTATTATACTGCTTTGTGCATTTTTGTGTATCTTTGCCTGTGTTGGATCAGGTGGGTGGCGGGACAATCAACGGGCAGTTTGCCCAGGACCCCTTCAACTCTGTCATGAATGTTTTTTTTTAGTGGAGAATCCCTGTTAAACTGTTGAACCTGCCCGGCGGCGTGTTTGAAGTTGGAGTGCGCCCATGGCTTGAGCCCTTGCTTCCAAAATGGCAGGAGCTTCAGAAGGTTGCCGGGCATGACCCTGATAGCTACAGTCCGGCCCATGAGGCCTTGGTTGTTGGGTTGGAGAGTGGATCAGGCTGACTGTCCTCCCCGTCATCAACTTATTTGTAACCCCCCATATTCCCGTATGTCTCGATAAAAAGCCCTGTACACTCTTTGCCCTCCCTGCACTTGCTCTGAGTCTTGCGAGTTCAAGGGATTTGGTGGAAAATCGCCAAGCCAAGATTTGCAGGCGCTGCTTCGCGTGGCCACACAAGCTGGGGCGAGGTTGGGTATGGATTTCAGGGTTTGGGTTTTCGTGGAAACCTTCAATATGAAGGGGTCTTTTCCTAGGTGAAGGGTCCATATTCGAAGTCGACAACCTCTTGGTGGCCCTCATCTTTGGCAACAACCAAACATGGTATCAAGTCATTGTTGCAAAAAAAAGGTTTGAACTGTCTGTATACAAGGACATCCTATTCTCATGAAACTCCTAGCGTCATTCATGCCATGTGTTGGGGCCTTCGGAGGATTGTAGCAAAGGATAAGGCAGAGAGAAGGCAGCAGCAGGCACGGCCTGATCCCAGCTCCTGCCACGCTGCGGCTTCCATCATGCTGTGCCCTCAGTTTGCTGAAAGCTCTCAGGCAGTGGGTGGGGCATGTGGGGCATGTCAACAACTTTTCAGAAGATCCGAAAGTTTGCACACTGTCAGAAGAAATATTGACGAAGAATCAGCTAGAGCTTGAACATGTTGAAAGCTTTATGCTCTTGGCAGTAGACGCGGCGTGGAACATACCACGGGTGCTGAGAGAATTTTTTGTGCTTCTGTTGCCTTCTGCAGCTCTAGGTGGTTAGAGCGGTGCCTCAGGCCCAGGCCCTTGAAAGCCCTAAACCATCCGAGTTTTGATCTCAGCTGCCAAAAGGAGGTTATATAGCAGACTAATCGGGGTTTATTAGAGGGGCTACTCAGGGGGATGCTTACTAGGAGTAATTTGGTATTTTCCCACAAAAAGGGGACCCCAATATAGACCCCTAAATATTATATTCCTTATTATGGGAACCCCAAAATGGTACCCCTAATTTTGGGAACCCCCCATTTTGGCTCATCTAGCATCCTTGGGCCCAGCTCCTGGATTCCGAATTGAGGCCTGGAGGCCGCCTATATCTACCTCGGCAGGACACCTGCAGAGGCCAAGCAAGACCCATCCAGGCAGCAATGGACATTCTCAATATATTAGGGTTATATCACCCCAATAATGGAGAATCAAATGGAAAAGAAAATGGAAAATGAAATGGAAACTGGGATTATATATATTAAATTTTAGGGCATTCCTTCCACTCCAAGCAGGCATTGATTGTGGGAAGGGTGGGGGTTGGCTGCCAGGAGGGAAGCCGTGTTTGGTTTTCATTGCTGCTTGCCTTTGGATACCCCACATGCTTGATGCGACGCAATTTCCTGAACACCTCATTGCAGTCTTTTTCATCTTGGCTGCCGGCCCACCAGGGGAATGGTGCACATTTGAGTCTCATTGAGTCTTAGTGCCTTCAATCGTGCTTGGGCACCCCCGTGAGGCTTGTATTGGGAAGCCTTGAGCTTCAGAAGTTTGAGATTGGGCCCGCAAACCTGATCCTATGCTTGAGGATCCAGCCCTTGTGAATCTCTATCGTACATGCTTTGAACATCAACTGCAGGAGCTCTTCAGGTTCCCTTGTGAAATGCCTAATGTTTGCCGACACCACTGTTGATGAAGGCATCCAAAGCACACGAGAGCGTTGTGCGGGATCGCCTTCAAGTAGTTGTTCTGTACAATATGAGTGCAACCGACCGTTCTTCCTCAGCTGCTGAAGCCCCAAGTCATGTTGCAATGATAGAAAGCTTTCTCCCAAACATGTATCGTCCCATTCTGTGTTTGTGGCTTGTGTTGGCATTACATGAGTCGCCTGGCAGAAGTGGAGGTGCATTTAGAGGCAGCCGCTGATAGTGAGAGGGGGCCATTGGCGCTTTTGGATGTTGAGAAGCTCTAGTAGGGGTTGTGGCATCTTCAGGACGGAAATGCGACGGCCAGCAGAAGAATGGATTTGAGCTGTTGGAGGGGCTGCTACAGTAACCTTTCTTCACATGGTCAGTTTCGGAGATCTGGCTGCCTTGTTGCTCTAAGTATTAGGTCCCGTACTAAAAAGTGCGTACTGTCCACCAGTCGGGGCCCAGGCTTGTGATACTGACACACACTCGTTGTTGGGCATCTTAGCTCAACTCTCAAATTCGTTTTCTGAACGACTGGTTCGCTGCTACAGCCCGCGCACAGCAGATGCCATTGGCCAAGCACAGCTTGACCATCATTGCAAGTGCTGAATGCTCATATGTTTCTTTCCATATATAAGATCACTGCTGCAGAAGCTCCTCCTCGAAGTCTGGCAAATGCTCCTACGTACCTCATAGCTACGTACGTACGGCATTACGCAGTGGTTTCGTCTGGCTAAGGGCTCAGAACATTCGTGCTGCGAGCACAGGCATGTTTAGCCTAGACCGAATGACCCTAAATCAGCTTGTTCTGTCCGTGAGGCCGAGCAGATTGCTGGCGACTCCGGCCGAGGTGGTCTCGTGATTCTGGAGAGCTGCTGTTAATTCCGAAGGGTGCTTCAGAGTTCACTGTGGGTGGGATTGCTGGCTTGTTTGAGGACATGTTCGAGTCAAAGTCCCGGCCCTACCATGAACAAAATGTGGCGATGGTGTGACTTGGCAGCAGAGCATCCCTTGAACTCACGGTCGCTCATGTTCGGTTTGGTGTTAGAGCATCCTTGGGAGGTATACTGTTGGTCCCCAGCGGGGCTATGAACCTGATGATGGGACATTCTTATCGCCGCTTGGGTGAAGCTTTGCACTAGCAACCAGCAGCCAGCTGCGTCAGTGGAGCTTAGGAAGGTGCGCTTGGTTGGCCGCAATGTGGTGGCGGCTTGCCACGACTACAACGCGCAGAATCCGAGCTGGGCTTAGCTGGTTCTGTAAACCGTAACCATATGCTGTTCATGCGCCATTCGCGTCTGCTGACTGGGTACCATCCTTGCAAAATCGCTTCTTGCGTATGTAGTTGTTGAATGCCCGTCAGAAAAGAAGGAGCTAGAGCCAGGAAAGCCATTCTAGATCAGTCTAGAATTGCTGGGTCGTTGTGAAGGAACTTAATTCAAGTTACCATATGGGGGAAACCATATAAATTGCCAAGTATATACACCCGTGACAGTAACTTAAATTAAGTTCCTTAACAGCAACCCAGTTTTTTTTGTTTCCAGGCCGCAGCCGATTGAGCAAGTGCGCCTCTGCCTGGTGAGTGGTGGCAAGTTTGCCGAGCGTGTTCCCAAGGCCCCAGCAAGCGGCGGAAGCTTTTGCTGGTTGTTGTCAGATGAGCTATAGTCTAAACTCCTTGAAGGGGGTTATGTAGGGGAGTGCCATAGGGGTTATTAAAGGGGGATACTAGGACTACAGCTCAGATGCACCCTGGACAGTACGCCATGTGCAGGAACATGTAGCTCGACAGCTTGTGCTCGGTGTGTTGGACGTGCAGCTGGCTGAATGGGTTAAAGCGGATGCGGTGCCGGAAATTGAGTTCGCTTATGATGGGGACGTTTTCCGACCCTTGGCTCAAGTTGGGTCAGGGTCATGGAATGTTTTTCTCAGGCCTTGGATGTTGATGTCAGTAGGAGCTCCCCCAATCCCTGCAAGCTTAAGTCTGCAGGAAAAGAGTGGGCCGCCTTGGTTGAAAGAACCTGACTGCAGCAAGCAGCCGCAAAGGAGGCAAAATAACCGCGCGGGCCTGGTTGCACATTTTGACCATGAGTGCAGAGATCCTTTGAAGGCATGTAGGAATGCCTGCCCACCAACCAGGCACATCGGATGTTGAAAGCCTCGATTGTAAGCCCTTGAACGTCGGGGCTTGACAAATGGCGTTTTCCTTTCACAGTTTGCTGTGCCGAATGCAACGAAGGGGTCTATCTTGAAAAGGTATTGAATGGGAGTGCGTTCCCATGTCCAGTACGTACTCTACAAGCTGAGGCCAAAAAGACGACTGCATATGACTGCATGTATTTGCCGTCTCCGGAAACAGAACGGAAGGCGCATGCTGGATGTGTGCGCCGTGCAATTTTGTTGATGCGTGCCAGTTGCGTGAATGCGAAGGGCCCATCAGTGACCAAAACAGGACTTCCAGCTTCTGCGTATCAATATTAAAAGCAAAGACAAGAGTGGAAGGCAACAAGACATTCAACACGGCCACTGAACAAACCTGCTGCCATGCGTGAGCAAGCCCATGAATCCCATGAAGACCCTGCTGGAAATCAACGAAACACGTACCCTTCATGGCATTTGGGCTCGTGAATGCCGCAGTAGGGGAGTGCTGTCCGCTGCCTCAGAGGAGGTGCTGGCGGAGCTGCAGAGTGGGCTGGGAAGCGTTGAGTGGGTTTTCCGTTGGCCTGTGCAGGTGCGGCCACATGCATTCCGGTGCGTGAGGGGCTTGGCAGTCGTCCAGCTGTCATGATGGCTAGCTACATCTAGCCGACGGTGGCCGTGTCCGGCATGTGTAGAAAGATTCGAGCGCAGGAAGGGCAAAGTCGGCGTTGGAGGTAGCCGCGAAGACCTTACGAGCATGACGTTGTAACACGATTTGTCTCGAGTTTGTATGGCTCAGGCCCGGCCTCCACCGAAGCGGAGGCATGGCCAAACAAGATCAAACAAGTAACAGGCACGTTTGATGTGCGCTTACATGATCGGCAGGGCGTTCCAGCACCTATGCCAGTTGGGCTGCTGAATCGGGTGCCAAGGGCTTACATCTGCTTTAAGACCAGTGCACTGCTGCCTCATGTGCTGCTTGTAGCCCAACTCAATCCAGCCATTCGTATGGCGCATGTAACGTAATGTCCATGGGTAGGTGTTGCTTGTCGTGGCCTGTCAATACGAAGGCCACTCCCTTCTTTACAACCCCCCACCCCATTGACAGGGGTTATCATCGGGACCGCAGCGTTTGGGTCTCTTCCCTTGATGCGGTACTTTCCCTAAATAAGGGGACCCCAATATAGACCCCAGAATACCATAATCCTAATTAGGGGTACACCCAAAAAGGTACCCCTAATTTTGGGAAATTGCCATCTTTTTTTGGAACATTATCAGCGAACTTTTTTAGACAGCTTGGGCTCAGTTGCTTTGCAGGCAAAGCTTCTGAAAGCCATTCAGTCAGCCTGCGCCGGAGGGTTATAAAAGGGATTATATTGGGATCACAGGGTAGATATTGGGGTTATATAGAGATAATGGAAAATAGAATGGAAACGTCTACGGTATATTGGCATATTGGGGTTATATAGAGATAATGGAAATTAAATTGGAACTACTATAGTATATTGGGGTTATATAAAGGATTATATTGAGCCAGGCCTGATCTAGTGCTTGGAGTGGCCATGTCAGAACCGCGGGGGCTGCGCCCGAACTGGACCATCACAGTTCTCCACTTGGTGGGTCGTGGGGACTTGGTAAGTAGGTTAATAAGGGGGATAATTATCTAATTGGGAGTATTATGTGGCTTTTAGGGGTTATTAACCTACTTACAGTACTAAGTCCCCCTAACCCTAAACCCTAAACCCAAACCCCTAAACCCTAAACCCTGACCCTTCAAGCAAGCTTCTTAGCATTCTCCCTAGCCAACCCTAAGTCTTCGCCTCGAGGGCTTAGGGCTGGAGGCCGTAAACCCGAAGCCCGAACCCTACGCCCTAAATCCATCTTGAAAGGGTCAGGGGGACTTAGTAAGTAGGTTAATAACCCCTAAAAGCCACAGAATTAAGCCACATAATTCTCTCAATTGAATACTTATCCCCATTATTGACCTCCTTACGAAGTTCCCATGAGCCTCCAAGTATGCCTTACGCCCTAACCCCATACTTATAACATCTTATAACCTCCCCAGGCAGAGCCTTGAGGCCAAGCTCGAGGCACGGATTTGTTTTGAAGTGGGGATGCAGCGCTATTTTGGTAGTCATACAGGCATTTTAAGGGAAGGTTCCCCATAGAAGTTGTTGGGATGTTGTAGGATTGCGTAAGGACTTTTTACAAGGTTTTAGGTTTACTTGGGATCAGAGTGTGGCTGACCGTGGGTCAGTCAGGAATGTCCCATATTTGCTGAGCTCGAGACGTAATTTGCAGTGAGTTGTGCCTTGACCTCTGTCATCCGGCTCAAGAAGACGTGACACTTCTAGGATAGTGTAGACTGCTGCGCAGTTCGGCGGAGGTAAAGATGATGTTTGCTCATGAGGACATCCTGAACCAGAATTGCGACTGCAAAATAAGAAATTATGAGCCTGACGCTTGTTTCATGACATCCTGCTATTACTGTTACGGCTGAGCAGCTCAGGAAGCCGATCTCATGGTTCCCGGGCATGGCTGGTGCCTCTGAGCCCTGCAAGGAAAAGGAGGATTCCAAGTCCGGCAAGTCCGACTGGAATCGTCTCCTGCTCAGTAGTTGCAACAGGACTAGACAGAAGCCAGTTCTAGCCTGCGCAACTTTCTTGCACAAGTGCACCGTGGCGGCAGCAGGAACACGTGTGACTAGCAAGGTTTCGAAAGCCAAGCCAGCACAGTGCCTCCTGATCCTGCAGAGCAGTACCTCCGGTCAATCAGCGCGGGTCTGAGCATCCAAGACTGTGGCATCATGCTTTCTGCAGTGGCTGCAGCTGAACTCAGCGGAAAGGCTGCGACAGCTCAGAGAGCGCAGGGCACAAGGCCCATCAAGCGGAGGAGGAGGAGACCTCCGAGGATGCCAAGGCAGACTGCTTGAAATTTTCCACATCAACAAACCGTTGCTGCTCGAGGGTTGTGGTGTGCTGGCCCAGGTCATCTTGTATCAGGAGGAATATGACGACGAAAGCAGATTCCTGTTACGAGACTTTGGCTTCGGAGGCAGCTTATCATCATGGGCACAGGAGCTCGTAGGATCCGCGGGCTTGGTTGTCAGTGTCTCCTTCGTGCTGCTCGTAGTTCTGGCCCTCGCAAGCCCGCTGTCGTCCACAGCCAGCTGGATGTGCTTTGGAGCGGTGAGGGTGATGATTGTCCTGACGTTCCTCAGCGGCCTTTTTATGCTCCAGGCACCGCAGCCGGCCAAAGCCATGCCTGAGGTGTCACCGTATACCACAGAAGAGGCATCTGACTAAGTGTGAGCACTGTACCGCGCCTTTATTAAGGGTACGTAGTGCGGGTCTATCCCCAGTGGCCACAAAACTCGTGAGCTGCCCTGGGTTCCTTTTTAACGTACTGTGCAGCTGTACATGGTTTGACCTTTGAATCTGACCTGAAGTGACCCAACACACTTGTGATGGAATGGGACCACGGACTCATGGTACAGAAGACATGACCCGTGGTGTGACTTCTACTCGCCGCGTGACTGCAGAAGGCAGTCCAGGCCCGATGCCATACTTTTGCCTTCCAGCCCTGTTCATTCTGAAAAAGCCGGCGCGTCATGGTCCCATGCAAGCATGTTCCCTCGAGGCTGCAGGGATACTTGCTAAGCCCTGAGCCGACGAAAGGAAGTCACTGACAAGTGCGCTCGGCTCTGGCCTTGGCGGTTTGAGGCTTCGTGAGAGCTTGGCTGTTCCAGTTCTGGAGGAGTTCCGGGATCTGGGAAGGGGCAGCTGTTCTAGGTTTCTTGCGTCGCCTTGGCGTGCCAAGGTTAGAGAAGGAGAACTGCAGTTTGCGAGATTGGGCCAGGGCCTCTGCTAGCCCAGGAACTTGTTTCTCAGAGGTCGCTCAATCGCCAGTGTAGTCTCTTGCTGTGTTCCAGCACTGCGCGTTTGTGCCTCTGCGCTGGAGCTGGCTTTGCCACATGGAGAGCTTCGCATGCAAGCGTTGATTCCGGTGAACTTGTTATCTCAGATTTGTTGCCTGTCAGTGCTATATGACTGAGCGATGCAGGTTGCTCGAGTTTTAGCCACTGAAGTCAGAGATGTCCTGAGTAGAGCTTCATGGGCTCCCAGCACCTGTACAGGTAACGAAAATTAACGAAAAAGGGGCAATGTTATGCTTCATTTTTTCCAGCGAGACCCTGGCACTATGCTGGAACTAATTTCCCAGCACGATGCTGTCATCCAGCGCCCCGCAGGACCCCCTCCCCCCACAGCCATCTCAAACAAATCCACAAAACTCCTAAGAATTGCTTTGGCCCTTCGAGCCATCCTGCTCCCGAGCCTGCTGTAAACCCCCATAATTCTGGAATAACGTCCTGCAAAACCTTGGTCCATAATAGGACTTCCGAAGCCGCACCCCACTGTATACATCTAAACCGCTTTCTTCAGAGCCATGTGTTACAGCTGCTTACACACCTCTGGAAGATAACGCATAAACCATATAACAGTTGTCACAATATTTGCGGGAATAGTAGTAATTCAAGAACTAATAATGTAATACAAATACGAATACAAGACGGGAATACATTTTTTCTCATAGAAGCTTCCAGAGTCATGCTGGTGTCAGCGGGGGGCTGCCCGCCTGTCTTGTTGGATGCTGGCCGTGCGGCGCGGCGACTCAGCGAGAGGAGACTAAGATGCGTATTATGCGTAGTGAGGGTTTAAACTTAAGATGGGCCCCAGAATCCATGTGTCATGCCCATGTATATCTCGACTGAAGCCGGAGCCCAGATAGCTTGTACAAGATCTTGCAAGAACACTAGTAAGAATTGCAAGAATGTCAAGCTGGCAGTCCTGTTTTCACAGCACACCAACCTAGCAAATCATCATGAGACTCCTGCAGTCCGCTTGTTTCACACTTGCCGCAGCGTAGTCATTGCAAAGTTCCCCAAAACATCAAAACTGTTTGGGTACTAGTTGTCAATATGAGCGGAATAGTTTTTGATACACAATAGCTTCGTGGATTCGCCTTGCAGCAGTTCTTCCTTTGGATTCTGCAAGCGTTGGATATCTTTAAAGATAGGGCCCCCTACGTACTCTTACAAAGAACGTAGGCTCCATGCAAATGATCCCCAACTGGACGCATGATATTGCGAATTCCGCGCACTTCTGCCATCCCAGCATGCCTTGCTGTACTGGTGTTCAGTGTTGAAGTGCTGGGACCACGCTGGCAGAGTTTGGTGTCTTCTTCTGCGCAGCTTCCGAAAGATTGAGCTAGGAGCACGACGTTTCTGCTGAACGGCTTCGGAAATCGAGGCTTGGCAATAGGCCCACCTGCCGCATGCGGGGGGTTCACATTTCTTTGGGATTCTTCTCTCTAGTCTCATGTGCCAGTGTGGGCATCTTTGAGATCTTGCTGATGCTTGTGTCTTCTTGGATGCAAAGCAAGCTCAAGTAGGCTCCCTCAGCAACTGATCCGCTGAGAACACGCTAGGCTCGCTGGTGTTTGCGGGCCGAATCATCGCGCGGCGGCGTCAAACCCCTGCCTGCTTGCCCTCTCTGGTGGCTCCCACCCAGAGAACCTGGAACCTGCAGTGTTCGCATTCATGGCGACACCGCAGCCTTGAGAAACTATCCTTTGCTGCCCAGGGTTCTGAAGAAGAGCAAGGCAACTCTGCAGACTTTTTGTCATACCGGCGACCTGACCCAGCCAGCCTTCTTCAGCTGAACCCATCTTTCTGGGACGATTTGCCGCCTGATGCTTCGCAAGAGTGGTGTGCCGTTTACATCAACTTGGCCAGAAGACCAGACCGACGCGACAAGTTGCTTCAGACAATGGAAGTGTCGAACTCAGAGCTTGCACATCAGATTCGTCGGCTCGACGCTGTGGATGGTAAGTGGCTTCGCCTTTTGGATGACGCTGTCGCCGAAATTGTGGATGAGTATGCCCTCGACAAGGCGAGACATGCCAGACGTCGGGGCGCCTATACCATTGTTCACAACGGTGGGCGGCTGTTGCATTTTGACAACCACTTAACAACGGGTGGAATTGCATGCGCCATGTCCCATCGACTGGCCCTGCAAGCTGTCGTTGCACATCCAACTGCCAAGTGGGGCATCATCTTAGAGGACGACATTGCTGCAATGGTTCCCCGCGTGGAAGAAGTCGTTTCCAAGGCTGTCGCCAGCCTGCCTGAGGATTGGGATGCATTGTTTCTGGGATACCATGATGATGCTGGGAGGGCCCATCCCTCTGCCTATGAGGCAGCGGTGGAAGATGTAGTGGAGGCTCGGGAATTGCAATGTAGCCAGAACACGCAAGCCACGCGGGATTCAGGGAACTGTGGCACTTATCTCTTGGATGTTTCTCGTTAAGGATCTTGGAGACCCTAAACCCCTAAACTGTGGGGTTAAGAAAAACTCTAAACCACCCAGACTCCCTGAAGCTTTCCCAGCAGGTAGCTGTGCGGCCGCTGCGGGAGCCTTGCTTTGGCTTGTTTGCGTGGGCTGTGCGCCGAGAAGCGGCCGAGGCCTGCAATAGGAACATGGGGATCTATGATCACATAGGGTCACGTGCTTGCTGCCCCCCCCTCCCCCCCCTCCCATGGTCTAGGCCTCCTTCCCTTCTCCTGTGGGTGTGGTTGGGGGTGGCTCTCCCCCGCTGTGGGTGTGGTTGGGGGTTGGGTGGGATGAAAAGACATGACATCAGGTCTTCCCCTTTCTCCTGTGGGTGTGGGTGGGTGTGGGTCTTACAAATGGAGGAATTACGTAAGCCATGTCTAAGCTTATATGGTGCGGGGATGAGAGAAGATATTTATATGATTGAATAGGACTATCTATAGATGTGTAGATATACAGATGGGTCATCATTCTGTTGCAGCCTGTGCAGTGTTTCTGAGCTTTTCAGAGGGTCTTAGAAGGAGACATGAGCTTCATGGTGTCTCAACGTTCAAATACCAACATCTACCACAGCCCGAAGGATCGTGCGGCAAACTAGCCCATCCCTGCAACTGTCGGCAAGTTTTGAATCTTACACGCACAGTCAGAGTCCAAAAGTCACGAAGATTGCACGTTCCAGACACCCAATCCTTGTGACTGTGAAGTTCTAAAACGACGACAGTCGCAGAGATTCCGCGCGCGTTCATGGCCAACCCGCCCAGACCATTCCGGGGGGCTGGGGGGCCAGGAACGCCAGATGCCTGACCATATGTGAGCCATAGTCTAAACTCCTTAACGGGGCTGTGCAGGGGATTACTATAGGGGGTACTCAGGGAGATACTGGGAGTTTAGACTATAGCTCATATGGGGTGTACAGGGTGTATGTATGTGAGGAGTAAAAAGTTTAGGACTGTTGGGTTCAGGGTTTGGGGCTCAGGGTTTGTGGTTCGAGGTTTTTAGGGTTCAGGGTTGAGGGAGTCTAAGGCCTAGGCGAATGGTTTCACACCTTTACCCTCTAGTCTGTCATGCTCCCTCTGGAAGCCTTTGGATTTGGGGGGCCATTTAGCATAAAGCAATGGGTGTTAAGTACACATGTACATATGTCTTTGATGTTCCTCATTCGCGGTGCATCTGGCAAATGCACGTTGCTGTTGCGTAATTCAGCTAACCCGTGCAAAGAGAGATGGCAACCTGCAATCAGTGGATGTTTCACTCTGTCCCCCGCCAAGGAAATGATTGTTATGTATGGGGTTGTTAGGATTGCAAGGTCCTGCGCAACACCCGAATAGTTATTTCAATTCCAGAACACAAGCTGCCGACCGCTGCTGGCAGGTTGCGCTGCTTGGAAAAATGTAAAAACCCGAAGCTGAATTCATGGTTAGAGGTGTTTTCATTCTTAGCCGTCCTTTCACCGTCGGAAAGCGCTTGATTCTGCGGCTTTGCTTGTGAACCGCCCATCAACCCATCTTTGTTTTCAGGCGCTCTTGGCCGAAGCGTTTCCTATTGGGGGACAGGCTGGGCAGCTTTGAGTGAGGGGAAAGCAGGATCCGCGGCTTGGGTTTGCTTGTGCACTTTGTCCCACCCTACGAAGCAGCTTCAGGTTCTAGTCATCACTTGGAACTGGTTTGAGGCCGACTTTTGTAATTTCATATGCGGAAGTAGAGCGCCTCCCTTGGCTGCTGTGGCCTTGCCTGTCCTTGCCTACAAATTCGAATTGACTTTTGGCGGCGCAGGTGGATCATGCGCTATCATCTTGGTTGCTGCGCGAGCGTGGCCGTTGCTTTCAAGTCGAGCCAGGAGTCGAGGGTAGAAAACTGGGTGCAGAAGCTCCACAGTGTTCGTAAAGATGCCGGCCACAGCTTGTGAGGAAGGCGTCAGTTATTGTCTGTCCCATAAGCATGCACTGCATACGCGTCGCCGAGAGGAAGCATGGTTTGCTTCAGCCCGAAGAGCGAGGAAGCAGAGGATTCCGACATCCAAACCATGGCCACGGCGGGGTGGTTGCATACTAGAGACTATAATGATAATTCCTGTATCCATTATTATTAGTAGTATAGTGATTATAATTGTTATTGTTATACAGGGACTGTCTGACCGAGCAGCGGTCGAATGCTATCGCCTTCCTGAGGTGGACGACTTCATGGGCAAGTTTCAGTCTTGGCAAGCCTACTACGTAACTCGGCAGATTATCCCTCGGTGTCAGCTTTGCATAGTTTTGTAACGTTTGCAGTCCACTGATAGACTGGTGCCATTTTCTGAGGAACACGTGTGGGGCCTTGATGGCATGATGGATGAGTATCTGCTGGGAGACGCCGGGGACTTTGGAGACATGGGGGAGTACCAGGCAAGGCCCCACTTTTGCCCCGGCTTGCGCAAGACATAACTATAACTTCTGCAATGTCAGAGAACATGGAGCTGAATCACCAAAAGCAGCTTCGATATACTTCTCATACCATCAGTAGTACTCAGTGTGGGATTGGTCCCCGTCCCCCATGCACCAGTGTTCATAACCTGGGCAGTGATTCCTGTTCAAATCATTCTATGCCTGTATTATACACTGCTGTGCAGCCTCAACGGTTCGGGGGGGGGGGGGCATTCCTGTGAGAACCCGAAACTCCAAACTGAATCCCCAACTGAAGCCCCTAAACCCTAAATCCTTTGATGCAGGAAGCAGGGGACTGGGACATGGATGATTTTCTTACGCTGCCCGGCTGGACAGAGAGTCATAGAAGCAGGGGTTATGTAGGGGTGTGGCCGCATTCTTGCCTTCATTTTGGGTTCCTGTATTCGATTGTCTTTTGCTAGGGGGTAAGGGGCAAGGGGGACCTACCTATCCTGTTCAGGAGGTACATAGGGTCAGACGTTGTATTGGAATTTTGACTGGTTGGCCATCCATGATGACCATGTTGGTCGTACAGGAGTACAATGCAGCCATCAAGGATTTTGTCTCGGCTCTTTGTTTTGAGGGTCGGTACGCGCGACATCGGCACACTAAATCCATTGTCCAAACCCTATACAACAGATTTCGCCCAGAAGAGGCTACCAATTAATCCCATACACAGAGTCATCAAACGGAGGCCATTTGGCGGAGGAGCAGCGTCACCTCCTTGTGATGCGCCGCGGGCTCAGCCATTCAGTCCACCCCAACAAGATTTCAACGTGATCCAACCTGGAATCATGCAGCAAAGGCCCTAACCAGATGTTCCCGGATGGCGTGGGGGATTGGAATACAACTCTTGTCTTTAGTGAATCCCTTGTTACTTCTATCGCGAGTGCCGCTAGTGGTAGCACCAGTGCCATCGCTACTCGTATCAATGCCATCGTTTCAAATAGAATAAATAGAATACTGTTTTTGGATTCCTCAGGCCGCCTCCTGAGTGCCATCCAGGAGATTATCCGGACCCTTGACAAAATGCTTGCGAGGCCCGCGGGAGAGAGGGGTTTTCCATCGGCAAGCCCCCCCTGTTAGGGAGTACAGGTTTCACTTTCCAAAGTGTGTCCCTCTAATTTAGACCCCTTTGAATTTAGACCCCTCTTCAGCTTTCTGAAGACCTATAGAAGCTTCGTTAGTCCCCTTAACCCTGGTGGCCACCTTTGTAGGGCACAGTGCACACTTCAGGAAGCCATGGGAAAGTGAGTCCAATGACTGGCTTACTACACTTCTGGAGCAACTTGTCTTCATGAAGTTGACTGTGGTTCAAGGTCAGAATGTGCATCTTTTACTTCAGGCTTTAGGCCTCGTTCTTTGATTGCCATAGCAAACGCTTTGCATCAACGACGGGAGGGACCCGATTAAGCTGTGCACATGCAGGTGCCATGTTGTCAGATGCTGGAGGTATCCGGGGCTGCTAAACAGGCTTGCTGTTGCCCTGGGCAGGCGGTGATGTACTCTACATACAGCGCTCGGGTGTGCTTTTCCACAAGCCCCACCACGAGCTGAGATCCGGCAATCTTGCAACAATATGTGAAAGGATCATGGTCTTAATGGTAGACAGGTATGCATCATATCAAAGCCCTTCACGTATGTCCAGTCTGAACAGGTAAGAAATCCTTCCTCGTTGTCAGGACCATAAGGGGCATTTTCGGAAAGGCTTGCTCCTGCAGTTGGAGACCCGACATATCTTCCAAGAGAGAGCTTTGATGTTAGCACGCGGGCTCAAAGGGGAGAGGGTGATGCTGGTGCGAAGACGTGGAATCAGTTGGTAGAACAAAGGTCTCCTACGCACACAGCGTCTCGATGCAACAAAGAGGCTCAGCAAGAATGCACCCATGGGCCACCCAGCCGACCCAGCCTACCACAAAGCTCGTGCAAATTGCCTACCACAAATCTTTGGAAGAAATATGTAGGAAGTCAGTTGACAGGATCTCTTGCACCATTCCGCGCACCTCAGATCCTAGTACTAGGGAGTGCAAAATGTCCTTCATCCACGAGATCAGGGCTGAGGCGCTCTTGCCCCCTTGGAAGTGTCCAGCCATGGAGAGCTGGGCGCTGAGCGCGGATGGGCGCCTGGGTACGCACAGAGGCTACGTTTGATACACTTTGTAGTAATCAAGTTCTCAAGACCCCAATGAAAAGCCCTTGCAAAGAGCGTGCTGTAGTACACTGAAACTAGCAAGAAGAATGTTCACTGGCAATGATTGTCATGAACTGAGAGGGACCGTGCCATTTTGTTCAGCTTTTGTTTAACTGTTGTACCCTGTTGCCATTCTAAAGCCTATAGTGATATAGTGCAAGTGCGTTTATTGAGCAAAAACTTCTCGCTGACAGGAAGCGATCATGAGGGCGCTACGAAAAATGATTATCATTGGAATGACGACGCCTTCGAGAATCAGAATCAGATGGAACTTCTTCTAGCAGTAGCAGAAGGAAAGTAATGGGGAACGAATTGTTCTTCGGGGTGCGCATTGAGTGAACCTTCCTTTGGACAGGTAACCTGAGGCCCGAAGCAGTCAGCGGTTGATAATAGTCAAGCACGTCCCCAGCACCTTCAGTAGTTGACAGAACTTTAACATCCAGTTTGTTGTTGAGGCCCTCGAAGTTTTCGAAGTACGGTACACACAACTGGAGCTTGTCCATCATTGGTTCTCATTGTAAAAGTCATTTTCAGCCCCACCAGTGCCTATGCATGCACCTGCGATGGCAAACGAAGCAGCCATCAACCCAGGCAGGTCACGTCGCAGCTGCGGCTTGGCTGCGTTATCCAGGGGGTTCAGAAAGAAAGTATTCTCCCTCAAAAAATTCACCAACACGTTCTCAGGCAGCCCCAGTTTTGAGAGCCAATGGCCTTGAGCACCACGGGGCTGGAGTGGGGTGTGAGGCCAGCATAGATGCTTTAGCCAGCTGAACATGGAGCACGAGAGTGAAGACGCTTTTTGTCCGAAGTGCGGGTTTGGCTTTCAAAATCATGTTCTGCTTGCCCAGGCAGGCAAATCCCAAAAAGTCCCAATTTTGTCAGCTGAACCAGAAATCTGAACATGTGGAATTAGTAAGTAAGCAAGAGAATCAGGTTGGCAAAGCAAAGCTCACATCTATCAACACGGCAAGAGTTGCACATGCAACCAACATCGTCCAGCACTTGACTTTGAGAGTTTTGTAAGCCTAAGCCAGCAAGGCCAGCTGCCATTGCGATGGACAGGCTGTACAGAAATGTTGATTTGCGAAGCTTTTCTGACATTTGTTTTCTAATTATTGCTACCAGAGGAGCGCTTCTCAGGCATTCCTTGTTGCAGGAGTTCAGCTTCTTCCGAAACTTGGAGGACGCCAGTTCCTGTCTATTGTCGTTTCTGCTCATGGATTGGGCTTTGGAAAGGGCTTATGCAAACGACTTCAAGCCCATTTGGGGGGGTTGATGGGTAGCAATGAGCTTTCAGATGGAAACCATGTTCATTAGAAGCCGTTTCGGGGGCAGGTACCGTATTGTCCCTAAATTCTTAAAGCCGGCAGGCGCAGATTCAGGACCGCTTGCCTTCGCTGTTGTCTTTCGGACGGGCGGCGGCGGGCACAGTCCCGACCTCGACTTCCTTGTGAGGGCCGCCAGAAATCCCAAACATGTCGCTGCTCATTCAATTCAAAGCTGCTTAGGGCATTATGACATGATTCCTCCTTTATGAAGAGTGGGGGCTGGGGCTCCTTTTTGTTGGATGCTCCGACCTGTAAAAGTGCAGATATTACCGCACAACAAGGTCCTGTTCAATGAAGGCGATGCGCCTCGCACCTTGACAGTTTCAGCTGGAAGCAGTAGCTGGCTTTGTACAGGTGGCGAGAGCTCTCATAACCAATTTAGCCAGAATGTGCTTGGGGCGAGCATGACAGCCGTGGGTGGTGTGCGCATTCGTTTCTGCACGATGCTGTGCTCAGGACTTTGCTACATTATTTTGTCAGGCGAGGTGACAATCTGGAAGGCAGAGAGAAAGGATGACAAGTCACCCAGGCGGGCCATATTTTCTGTTGAAGTACTCCCGGTTTTGGCGTGGTAGATTCCTTCTCTCATCTATCATATTTGATTATTTGCTTTACCTTGCTGCTGTCCTGACGGTGTGCCTGTCTGTGGTCATGCTGGGAAAGTTTGACTGCTTCTTCAGGTCTATGCGGGAAAAGTACAGCAGGGCCAACTCGACCAAACTTCCCGCAGATGTCAGCAGCTCAGTATTCTCAGATTGTGCTTGCTACTGCTACTGCTGCTGCTGTATTAGTACTTGAAAAAGGAGAAGTAGTAGCAGTGGAGCACTAGTACTCCTATTATTCCTCCTCCTCCTCCTCCTCCTACGACGACGACGACGACGACGACGACGACGACTGCTACTGCGACTGCGGCGACAACCACCATCACCACCGCAACCGCCACCGCCGCTGCCGCCATCGCAACCGCGACCACCGCCGCTGCCGCCGCGGCGGCGGCCGCCGCCACCACCGCTGCTTCCACCCCAGCCGCCGCCACCGCCAGCACCACCACCAGTGCCACCGCCGCCACCACTGCCGCTGCCGCTGCCGCTGC